CAATCGGTTCCTCTGTCTGCTAGAAATGAATGATCAGACTCTGTACAGAGAGATTCGGAAGTTTGTGAAATCAGAGAATCACTCAGTGAAGCAGTGAAGAACTTCTCACTGCTCAACAATCGCCTACATGATTCAGATATCAGAAGAGGTGCTGGATGAGTTTGATCTGAAGATCTGAAGCACAACAGAGGAGGGCAGAAGAAGACTTATACCAGCTGTGGTCAACTGCAGAAAGGCTCTGTGAGTATTATGCTGACAAAAGTATTATTTTTACAAAACTAATTTATTTGAGAGTTAAATTATGTAAATAATTGTTTTTAAAAAGTTGAAAAGTGTTTCCACACCTGTTCATCAGTAATCAATGTATATGACGTAGTTTTTTTTTGTTTGTTTTTTACAAATTTCAGCTGTTCTTATACATTTTGGCATGGTACTGTCAGATGTGGCAGACTCTCAACTAAGGTGGTATTTAAAAATGCTTACAGACTAATCCTGGCTAAACCAAAATGTTACCATTAATCTAGGCTCAAGCCAGGCATACACTGTGCAATTTCAGCAATGTTTTTGTTAAATACCAACTCTTACTGTACGAGTAAGCCGCATGCGATCGAAAGCCAAATTTATGTGCTCACACTATATGGTCCAATCGTCGAGCTGTGGCTTGACTGCTCACACCATACATGTAAAATAAACATGTGGGACCTCCCAAATTTGGAAGTGTGTATCCTCCATCAGCAAGGAATACTCCCTAATATGATATTAGTTTAGAGGGAGAAAAACTTTGGAAGAAACCAGAGTCAGCAGGGGAGGCCCATCCTCCTCTGGGAACAGACATTACAATAATTGTATATATTCCATGATTTATCCTGTTATGTAAGGTGGAGAAAACTCCATATGTGTTGGGTCCCCACTATGATAACAGTAACTTTCTCCACTGTGCCTGAGCTTACTCTACATCTATTGTTAAGTAATAGAAAGTCTAAGGCTTTAAATTCAATGAGTTTACTTTCTTTTTTTTGTAAAGATCAATAATATCAGAAAGGCAATCAGCATATCCTTATGTTGCACTGAGGTCAGACAGACTCGATCAAAACTTCAGAAATTAGTTACTATGTCTGATTTCGAGGCAGTTGATGTTGAAAGAAACTATACAGCATCTTAAAACATTAAGCTGCTCCCTTGACACAGTTATTCATCAGAGGAAAGTCTACTGCTTCATACATCTGAGCTTTCAGGAGTTTCTGGCTGCTTTCTTTCTGTTTTATTCATATGTAGTTAGGAACTTGGAATTACTGAAGACATTTCTGAGAGGATGTAAGTGGTACAGTCGAGAAATCGCTCTGTTTGAGCTACTAGAAGGCACAGTTGATAAATCCTTACAGAGTGAAAATGGACACCTGGATCTTTTCCTGCGGTTCCTGCTGGGCATCTCACTGGAGTCCAATCAGAGACTCTTACAGGATCTACTGACACACACAGTGAACAGCTCGGAGACCATCAACAGAATTACACGATGCATTAAAGACACAATCAATGATGATAAAGGTCTCTCAGCTAACAGGTGCATCAATCTGTTCCTCTGTCTGCTAGAAATGAATGATCAGACTCTGTACAGAGAGATTCGGAAGTTTGTGAAATCAGAGAATCACTCAGTGAAGAAACTCTCTCCTTCTCACTGCTCAACAATCGCCTACATGATTCAGATATCAGAAAAGGTGCTGGATGAGTTTGATCTGAAGAAATACAACACATCGGATGAGGGTAGAAGGAGACTGATACCAGCTGTGCTGAACTGCAGGAAAGCACTGTGAGTCTTTTATTTTCTACTTGATTTAGATTTCCAAGGAAAGTACACAGTTACAAAAATCTAGACAGGTACAGCATTTGAGAGTGTCAATTTTTATTCAAAGAATTACTTTATCATGACCATTCCATCTCATTGACCGCTACTATTAAACAGGCTGTTTTTTGCTAGTGTTCCACTCAGGCTATTAAATTAAAACTGAAATGATCAGGGATCTTGTTAAGAATAAACTTGAGACGCTCTTTCCGAATGTTTGGTACAGCACAACATTTAGAATTGAACACATCAGCATTTAGTTACTATATACCAACCGCAATATTAAAACCTGATTGACCACACTAATTTAAACCTATTTGAGATTATTGTAAGTCAAATTTCAGAGTTCACTCATTAGTCATATGAGCAATATGTCAATATATCAGCACAGAAAACAATAATTTAATCAACCATATCTTCATCCTGTTTTACAGACTTTCTGACTGTAATCTCACTGATCAGTGTTGTGAAAGTTTGTCTTCATCTCTACAATCATCAAACTCATTGAGAGAGCTGGACCTGAGTAACAATGACCTACAGGATTCAGGAGTGAAGATTCTCTCTGATGGACTGAAGAGTTCACACTGCCAAATCAACATACTGAGGTAAGAAAAACAGATAAAAGTTCACTTGGTTATGAAATTAAAGATGCTCTCTGCTCTGGCCCTGATCTTCTGTGTGTTTGTAATATATCAGCACAGCCCAGTGTGTCTGAAGACTTTGGGGTTGCATTTGCTCCAGCCTGTTTTTTCTGTGATTAATTCAGTGATTAAAATGTCTGTTGTGATGAGTGGAGATAAACAGAAACTGTTACTGAGATCATTTGCTCCATCAACACTGTGACACTGAGTAAAACACTAAACCCAGAGTTTCTCCAGCTGAACTGAACCTGTAATAAAAATGGCAAATTGAATAATTTGATTTAAAGCAGATTTACAGGTGATATGATGTTGAGTGTTTGTTTGTGTTTGTAGATTATCTGGCTGTATGGTGACAGAGGAAGGCTGTCGTTTTCTGGCTTCAGCTCTGAGTTCAAACCCCTCACACCTGAGAGAGCTGGATCTGAGCTACAATCACCCAGGACAATCATTAGTCAAGCTGCTCTCTGATCCAAACTACAGACTAGGCAAACTCAAGTATGTTCAGCACTAACAATCACCACATGGGTTTGTTCATGTGTGTGCTGTAAAGTACATGTGTGAGCTATTAAAAGCCTGTTACAGTTGATAGATTTTTGGCCGAGAGATTAAGAAAATAGTTATTTTAAAAGAAACAGAGTTGACTTTTTAGACTCAGTGGGCCCTATCATACACCCGGCGCAATGCGACACCAGGCGCGACGCAAGTTTTTTTTTTTGCTAGTTTCAGCCCGACGCAGTTATCATTTTCCAGCGCCACGTTGTTTAAATTGCATCTGTTTGCCCATGGGCGTGCTGGTCTGAAAGTGAGGTGTGTTCAGGCACGTTGTTGGCGCATTGCTATTTTGAGGCAACTGAAAATGATTGTGCAGTATTTTTTATTTATTTAAGGTTTGAGTCTTACCTCTCAGATAGGTCCTTCAAGGTATCTTGGAGAGGTGAGGTGTCCAAATCCCAACATCTAACTACTGGGGTGCCTCAGGGCTCAGTTCTTGGACCACTTCTCTTCTCTGTCTACATGGCATCACTAGGTTCTGTCATTCAGAAACATGGCTTTTCATATCACTGCTATGCTGATGACACTCAACTCTACCTTTCATTCCATCCTGATGATCCGACGATAGCTGCTCGCATCTCAGCTTGTCTAACTGGCATTTCTTGCTGGATGAAGGACCATCACCTTCAACTCAAACTTGCCAAGACAGAACTGCTTGTGGTTCCATCAAACCCATTTTTTCATCACAATTTCACCATCCAATTAGACACATCAACCATAACTCCTTCAAAAACAGCCAGAAACCGTGGAGTTATGATTGATGATCAGCTGACTTTCTCCGACCACATTGCTAAAACTGCCCGATCCTGCAGATTTGCTTTATTCAACATCAAGAAGATCAGGCCCTTTCTTTTGGAACATGCTTCACAACTACTTGTTCAAGCTCTTGTTCTGTCCAGGCTGGACTATTGCAATGCTCTCTTGGCAGGTCTTCCAGCCAGTTCTATCAAAGCTTTACAATTAATCCAGAACGCGGCAGGAAGATTAATTTTTAATGAGCCAAAAAGAATGCACGTCACACCTCTGTTTATCAATTTGCACTGGCTACCTATAGCTGCTTGCATAAAATTCAAGGCATTAATGTTTGCCTACAAAACCACCACTGGCTCTGCACCCCTTTACCTAAATTCATTACTTCAGATTCTGACTGTAATCTCACTGATCAGTGTTGTGAAAGTTTGTCTTCATCTCTACAATCATCAAACTCATTGAGAGAGCTGGACCTGAGTAACAATGACCTACAGGATTCAGGAGTGAAGATTCTCTCTGATGGACTGAAGAGTTCACACTGCCAAATCAACATACTGAGGTAAGAAAAACAGATAAAAGTTCACTTGGTTATGAAATTAAAGATGCTCTCTGCTCTGGCCCTGATCTTCTGTGTGTTTGTAATATATCAGCACAGCCCAGTGTGTCTGAAGACTTTGGGGTTGCATTTGCTCCAGCCTGTTTTTTCTGTGATTAATTCAGTGATTAAAATGTCTGTTGTGATGAGTGGAGATAAACAGAAACTGTTACTGAGATCATTTGCTCCATCAACACTGTGACACTGAGTAAAACACTAAACCCAGAGTTTCTCCAGCTGAACTGAACCTGTAATAAAAATGGCAAATTGAATAATTTGATTTAAAGCAGATTTACAGGTGATATGATGTTGAGTGTTTGTTTGTGTTTGTAGATTATCTGGCTGTATGGTGACAGAGGAAGGCTGTCGTTTTCTGGCTTCAGCTCTGAGTTCAAACCCCTCACACCTGAGAGAGCTGGATCTGAGCTACAATCACCCAGGACAATCATTAGTCAAGCTGCTCTCTGATCCAAACTACAGACTAGGCAAACTCAAGTATGTTCAGCACTAACAATCACCACATGGGTTTGTTCATGTGTGTGCTGTAAAGTACATGTGTGAGCTATTAAAAGCCTGTTACAGTTGATAGATTTTTGGCCGAGAGATTAAGAAAATAGTTATTTTAAAAGAAACAGAGTTGACTTTTTAGACTCAGTGGGCCCTATCATACACCCGGCGCAATGCGACACCAGGCGCGACGCAAGTTTTTTTTTTTGCTAGTTTCAGCCCGACGCAGTTATCATTTTCCAGCGCCACGTTGTTTAAATTGCATCTGTTTGCCCATGGGCGTGCTGGTCTGAAAGTGAGGTGTGTTCAGGCACGTTGTTGGCGCATTGCTATTTTGAGGCAACTGAAAATGATTGTGCAGTATTTTTTATTTATTTAAGGTTTGAGTCTTACCTCTCAGATAGGTCCTTCAAGGTATCTTGGAGAGGTGAGGTGTCCAAGTCCCAACATCTAACTACTGGGGTGCCTCAGGGCTCAGTTCTTGGACCACTTCTCTTCTCTGTCTACATGGCATCACTAGGTTCTGTCATTCAGAAACATGGCTTTTCATATCACTGCTATGCTGATGACACTCAACTCTACCTTTCATTCCATCCTGATGATCCGACGATAGCTGCTCGCATCTCAGCTTGTCTAACTGGCATTTCTTGCTGGATGAAGGACCATCACCTTCAACTCAAACTTGCCAAGACAGAACTGCTTGTGGTTCCATCAAACCCATTTTTTCATCACAATTTCACCATCCAATTAGACACATCAACCATAACTCCTTCAAAAACAGCCAGAAACCGTGGAGTTATGATTGATGATCAGCTGACTTTCTCCGACCACATTGCTAAAACTGCCCGATCCTGCAGATTTGCTTTATTCAACATCAAGAAGATCAGGCCCTTTCTTTTGGAACATGCTTCACAACTACTTGTTCAAGCTCTTGTTCTGTCCAGGCTGGACTATTGCAATGCTCTCTTGGCAGGTCTTCCAGCCAGTTCTATCAAAGCTTTACAATTAATCCAGAACGCGGCAGGAAGATTAATTTTTAATGAGCCAAAAAGAATGCACGTCACACCTCTGTTTATCAATTTGCACTGGCTACCTATAGCTGCTTGCATAAAATTCAAGGCATTAATGTTTGCCTACAAAACCACCACTGGCTCTGCACCCCTTTACCTAAATTAATTACTTCAGACCAAGGTTATTTTCGTAAACGAAAAGTGAAACTAAGACTAAAACTATTGGTTTAAAAACAGTTTCGTAAACTGAAATAAAATTACAATTTCCAAATAAATGAAAAACCAAAACTAAACGAAACTAACAACAGTTATTGAAAAACTAACTAAAATAAAATAGTTAGAAAAAATAAACAATAGTTTTCATAATTTAATAAGCTCTCATTCTGTGCCAGAAAACCTGAGATGGGTATAAACGGCGATAATGAGAAGCCCCTGTCTGCAGCCTGCAGATCGGGGTGGGGCTGCATCTGGGGCGGGGCTGCACGTGTCGCCCCGCCCCATACCTACTCTGAATGAATCAGAGTCTTTGAAAAACCCATTATTATTCAATGACCAATTATTATAGACAGCCGCTTGATTTTATTCCTAAATGAATGAATGAAGCATTTTGAACTAATTGATTTAATAAAAGGCTCCTTTATTAACACAATGACTTACCGCCACCTAGTGGCGATATGACTTTCATAATTCAAGTATCATTTCATTTTATTCATATTTCTGTATTACAAAATGTTGTATAAAACATTAATCTCATTTCATTATACATTTGTAATTGCTATGTAAATGCAGGTACATCCGTCTGATCAGCATTAAACTGTAAATACTTTTAAAAGCATCTTCAGACGCAGGTTCTTTATCTCTGAATACTGATTTAATTGGTAACAGCCTCATATTATTCTAATGTATTTGATGTAAGAATTTAACATTAAAGATGACATACAAAAGGTAAATAAATAAAAAACTGAAAATCAGTTGCCCCTTATGGGAAAGTTAATTTCTGACACTGCTGACACTGGCTTATTGTTCGAAGTGTTATTTCAGGGTTTGGATATGTTATAACTCAAACAAGTTCACCTTCAAATCATGATGTCAAATTCACATTTCACTAAAGTCAATCACTGAAACAAGCACTCTGAGGAACAAGTAGTCCCATGCTAGTGGGATAACAACATATGATTTCCTGAATTTGTATAAAGTGGTGTATCTCCACCTCCTTGTCATCTCTTCCTTACTCACAGTGGTATGATCATGGTCAGCAGGGAACGGTTTTGGCGGCAGTGAAGTTAGTCGTTCACCGACCAGGAAGTGTGCAGGTGTCAGTGGCTGCGGCTCGTCAGCCTCATTGTGGACAAAGGTAAGGGGTCTGGAATTCAGTGTGGCTTCTACTGTGAGGAGTGTAGACATTTCTTCAAAAGTGAGCGATGCTCTTCCTAGCACCTTTCTCAGGCACGTCTTTACAGACCTCACTAGCCTTTCCCAAAATCCGCCCCACCAGGCTGCTCGCTCTATGATGAAGCGCCAGCTGATGCCCTTCCCTGAGAAGTATTCCAGCAGTTGTGGATCTTTGATGGCTCGCCACAGCTCACTGAGGTCTTGATTTGCTCTTTTGAAAGTTTTGGCATTGTCTGAATAAATGACCTTGCACAGTCCTCTTCTAGAAACAAATCGCTTAAGTGCTAACAGGAAGCTTTCTGTTGACTGACTTGATACGAGCTCCAAATGCACTGCTCTGGTGACTGCACATGTGAACAGAGCAACATAAGCCTTGCATAGCACACGATCATTCTTCACCTACAGTGGACCTGCAAAGTCTATGCCCGTCACTTCGAATGGAGGGGTCTCTTATTCTGTCTCGTGGGAGTGGAGCCGTGTCCTGTTGTGTGAGTTTTGCTTTAAATCTTTTGCAAACAGTACATTTTGACAGGATACTTTTTATAAGTTGTCTGCCTCGCAAAATCCAGTGTCTACTTCTGATTTGTACAAGAGTGTCTCTTAGACCAGAATGCATGACCCGCAATACCTTCTTCAGTTTACTGCACTTCAGTAAATCTAGCACAGGTTTCACTTTGGTCACTGCTGCTGCGGAGTTGCACACTGATCTGCTGAACTTGTTTTAGCTCATTACTCACATCTTCAACACTCTGATCTTCATCACTTTCCTCAGACAGATTTTGGGGTAGTCAGAAATGGGGGTCCTTTCCACCACAGTTTGCTTTCCTTCAGGTTAGCTACGGTCTGACCTCTGGTAGGGAGATCTGCTGGATTGGCCTTGCCTTTGCAGTGAGACCACATTGCAGGGTTGGTTAAGGACTGTATTTCAGCTACTCTGTTTGACACAAACTGATTCCATTTGTAAGCTGGACTGCGAATCCACTGTAGTACGATCATTGAATCTGTCCACAGGTGAACCTGTCGTAGCTCCATATTCAGAGGCTTTAGCAAGTTGTTTCCTAGTCTTGCTCCAATCACTGCTCCCATCAACTCAAGACGTGGCAGGGACTTCTTCTTTAGCGGGGCTACCCTGGACTTTGAAGCGACAAGGCATGTAGTCTTTGTTCCTTCATCCCCCCTCGCAGCAAGTATGCAACTGTACTATAAGCTTTCTTGCTTGCGTCACAGAACACGTGAAGTTGTTGTGCATCTTGCTTGTGCTCAGATTTTATTCCATACCAGCAGGGGATGACTACATGGTGGATCTGTGAAAGTTCTGAACACCAGCCTTGCCATTCTTGTGCAAGATCTGTAGGCAGCTCCTCATCCCAGCCGAGGCCTCGTATCCACATCTCTTGAAAAAGGCATTTCACACGCACAGTGAAAGGGGTTAGAAAGCCTATTGGGTCGAATATGCAAGCAGAGAGTTTCAGAACGCTCCTTTTGGTGTTCTCTCTTTTTGCTACAGCGTCCAGCAATGCAGTCAGATAAAAGATGAAATCATCCTTTTCAGTCCTCCACACCAAGCCTAGCACCTTCAGTACAGCTCCTGGTGTCTCTGTCTCTGGTGCAAGTTCATTCATCGTCGTTTTCCATTTCTCCTTCAACTCTGGACAGTTCGTTGTCCATTTGCAAAGGTCCATGCCAGCTGTGGACATAATCTGTTTGGCATTAGCAGTTATGGAGAAAGCATTCTCAACGTCACTTGCACTTGAGATGAAGTCATCGACATAAAGTGATTCCTTTATTATCTTTACTACCTCTGGAAGTTGAGCTTCATATTTCTTCAAATGTTTTCTCACTGTAGCTGTGAGGAGAAATGGGCTGGGAGAGACTCCAAACACCACTCTCGTCATCCGTAGCACACGCAGCTTCTCACCTCTGTCTTCATGAGGCAGTGCAGCGAGCCAAAGGAATCGCACAGCATCTCTGTCCTTCACAGCAAGAGAAATCTGCAAGAAAGCCTTTTTGATATCTGCTGTAAATGCAATCGCATGCAGTTTGAACTTGATTAATATACTGAGCAGATCTGGATTCAGGTTAGGACCAGTAAGCAGACAGTCATTAAGTGATGGAGAGTCGGTGTCATGTGATGAGGCATCAAACACTACTCTGAGTTTTGTTGTTACCTTGCCTTCGCGAAGAACAGCATGATGAGGCATATAGTATTTCACAACGGTCGGAGATGGCTCCTCCTCCATCGCATCTTCGACAATGCCCTGCTCAAGGTAATCATTCACAACTTCATTATATCGGTGACACAGCACTACATCTGACTGCAACTTTCTCTTAAGGCCTTCAAATCTTTTCCTTGCAATTCTGTAGTTATCTGGAAGTTCTGGCTTGTCAGGTCACCACGGCAGTTCAACTTCATATATTCCGTCTTTGTACGGAGTTGTCTTTTCAAACTTGTGAAGAGCCTCCTCTTCCTCAGGACTGTCTGTCTGCTTCATGGTGATACCGAGAGACTCTATTTCCCAGAAGGCTTTCAGACGCTCTGAAACCAGTGTGTCTTCAGTAACTTGTACTTGCATGCAGGCTGCATCA